TTTTTTTTTTAACCAAAATCACGAAAATAAAATAATAAAATTATTCAATAACCAATAATAACATCAGTGTATTAAAAATGATACACCAAAATCAAAATCAGTTTCATGATCAAAATAATTATAATAGTAATGGGAATAGGGGTGTGAATTATAATATGAATCATAATAGCTATAATAATATAAATGGTTCGAATAATAATTATATGAATAACAAAATAAACCATAATAATAATAATACAAATTGCCAAAATAATTTCCAGCAACCACAACAACATCAATATAATAACCACCAATTTAGAAACAATAGTTATCAAACAAAACCAACAAATAATATCTTAAATAAGAATAATAAAACTACAAAAGAGAGTTATCCAATTTTACTTTTTTTTTCAAGTTTAATTTTAATTTGCAAATTATTAAGTATTATTTGTAAGTATAGTAACTTTTTATTTTAAAAATTTTTATCAAAAATTTAATTGTTTATTTTTTTTATTTTTATATTTATAGATCCATGGTCGAATTCACCTATATTTATAACACGGAGTGAGTTCCAATCCTTATTGATTATGGTTATAATTGGTATCATATTAATAATATTATATATGGTTGGACTCTCACTTTTATATTTTAAATTGCTAAAGAGTATCCCGTTTATTTGTTTTAGTCAATTTAGTTCTTTTAGTTGCAATTACGATACTTGATCTTGTAACTATTATTCATTCTGGTTATCATGAGTTCGATTATTATAACTTTTATAGTAAAATTTCGGCAGGCTCCCTTTTCTATTTTGTTGGTGGCTCCTTAAACATTCTTTTGTTTATTTTAACCTTTATGAAATTCAAAATTCATACTCCACTCAAAGTACTTCAAAACAAATTAAACAAAAATATTAGTTTTTTTATTTTATTAGTATTTTCAATAATTATATTAATTCTCAAAATTTTCAGTTCTAAAGGTAAAGTATTTAAATTAATAAAATTTATTATTTGAACATAAAAAAAAATAGAATTAATATTAATATTTAATTTAATTTTAGCTAAATGGGCACATATCCCACAATGGAATTCCTTTTTTTTGGAACCCAGTCCAAGTGGTGCCACTTTAGCTTTAATTATATTCAGTGCGGTTTTAACATTTGTGTATATTATTGGTATATCATTAAGTTTCTTTAAAAAATTAACCAAATCATTCCCAATCACATCAGTTTTAGCTCTTCTTATTGGAAGCTTGATAGTTGATATTGCTATTCTAATCTCCTCTTTTACACTCGAACTCTATCAAAGCTATGGTACATATCCATATAAACAAAGTATTTGGTTTACTTTAGCTTGTGTTGATTTCTATAAAGGGGAATGTTCGTTGTATTCTGGTGCCTTTTCATTTTTTGTTGGTATGGGTTTGAACATTGCTTTAATCGCTTTAAGTGAAGGTCTTTTTGAAGATTGTTTCTCATATTACAATAAATATAAACCAATTAAAATGGACACCAAAAATGTAGCTGTTAAAGTGCCATTATCAGATTCAGAAAAACAATACCTACAACAATTAAATATATATATACAACAATTAAATAGTTATAAAGGTAATAATAACTATGACGAACAAAAAAATATTTATCTTCAAGAAACAATCGATGGTTTACAAAACTACATAAATCAACTAAAAACCCACCATAAACCAATAGATAATAATAACATAATAGATAGTGAAGTTTTAACCGAAAACCCTGTTTCTGGTGATTTAAAATCACCACTTCTTATTAAAGAGGCCCAAGATCCATTCGTTCCCAGTTATGACGAAGATCAAAGTCTAAACTAATTAATAAAAAAAAGTTGTAAAACTATCTTTAAATTTTTTTTATTGATTTTTATTTATTTAATGCATATATATACAAATTAAAATTAAATAGATACCTGGGAATATACTTATGTGGAGTTTCAACTCCTATTCCATCCCCAACTTTTCCATCAGATTCTCTTTTAGTTTTAATTGTTTTAGGAATCATTTTATCATCCTATATTTTTAAAAAAAAAAAAAAAAAAAAAAAAAATTAAATTTTTTAAAAAATATTTTTTTTTATTTTTTTTGGAATATGTTGTGCAAATGTTTCAAAAAAATTATAAATTGCAATTATAATTTTTTTTTTTTTTTTTCAAATTTTTATGTTGAAAATTGATTTAAAAAATAAACATTTCCCATATAAAAATTTCAAAAAAAAAAAAATTTTTTTTGTGAAAATTGCAATTTTGAAAAAAATGCATAACAAAATTAAAAAAACTGATAATTTGAAAAAAAAAAAACCAATCCTAAATAACAAAGAATTTTGGGAATATGTTGATAATTTGAAAAAAAAAAAAACAATCCTAAATACCAAAGAATGTGAGAAAATTATTTTTATGTGAGAAAATTTCTCTTAAAAAAAAGTTTCATTATTATTTTTTTATGGCAACAACACAAATAATAATAACATGGAGAGCAATAATACAGACAACAATAATATGGATGAAAATATTATGAATAATAATATGAATGATAATAATTATATGAATAATAATATGAATATTAATAATAATAAAAATAATATGAATAATAGCAATAATAATTGTAATAATAATATGAATAATTTTCAAATTAATAATTCACAATACAGCAACAATAGTGGTTTTAAACCCCACAACACTATGATAAACAACAATAACAACAGTAGTTTTAATGAAAATAACTATAATCACAATAATCATAGTGTAAACACAATGAACAACCATTATAGTTATAATAATAATAATAATAACTATAATAATAATCATAGATACAATAATCATTGTTATAATAATAGCTACAATAATTATAATAATAATGGGAATAATAATTATATAAACATGGATAATAGCTATAATTATGGTAGTAATAATTACTATGGAAAAAATAACTATTTTTTAAAACTATCAATTATTTTTTCACAATTAAAAAATAACTTTTTTTTTGTATTGGCTTTTTTCTCAATTTTTATTATAATCTGCAAAATATCAAGTATTAATAGTAAGTTATTTACATTATTATTTATTTTAAGTATAAATTTTTATAAATTACTAATTAAATAATTTAATAGATACTTGGGCAATCTATTATTCACTTACTATCCCGTTCCCAACATTTCCATCAGATTTGGCTTTAACTTTAATTGTTTTTGGAATAATTTTATCATTCTTATATTTAATCGGTTTAATATTAATAGTTTGTAAAAAGTTTCCAATATCATCGCCCTATACAATTATAGCACCTTTATTTCTTACCATAGTTCTCGATATTATTGTTATATCTATTGGTTTCTTTTTATCAAAAGAGTTTCTTATCAATGGTTCTTACAAGGAATTTTATTTTGCTGGAGGTGAAGACTCCATGATTTGGAGCGGCACCCTTTTATTTATCACCAGTACCATTTTCAGCATTTTCCTCATTATTTTAACATTTTTAGTTATCAAAAGTGAACTCAAACAATCCCAAGAAGAATCATTTAATAGAAATAACAATACCAACAACAACAACAACTATGAACTTTTTCAGTCTAACCAAATTCAATCCGATAATAACTCTGATAGCAATGATGAAAGTAATATAGGTCCAAAAAGTAAAGTATTTTTAATTTTAATTTCATTCACAATCTCAATAATGAGGATTATAAGTAGCGTGGGTAAGTTTTTATTTTTATTTTTTTATTTATTTTACAAACAATTATTTATTCATGAACTAATTTTTATTATTTAAAACCAAAAAATAGTTGGTTGGTCAGTATTTGATGTACCAGGTCAAAGATTTTTAAATATTTATATTCCAGATTTCATTTTTAAAACCTATCCATCTGGTATTGTTTTGTTTTTTATTATTTCCGGTATTATATTTTCAATAATTAATATTGTGGCTATTACATTAAAGTTCTATATGAAACTATTAAACTCCATCTCATTCAATTTATTGGTTATCCCCATGCTTATTTCTGTAATATCCGATGTTATAGTTTTTATCTCTGCCTTTGTTCTTCAAGATGATGTAAAAATACCACTCCATGATATGGTGATGTTTGTTACTCCTTTAATTTTCCATGGATATGGTCCTTTTAGTTCTCGAGCAGATCTAGAATTTGGTCCAATTTCATTTTTTATTTCTTTTGCTTTAAATTTAATCCTCATTACTTTAAGTGTAGGTCTTTTTAAAAAATGCTTCAAACCAGATAGTAACACTCGTCCAAAACCACCAATCCTCAATCTACAAAAAACTATTGACCATTTACAAAATATTAATTATAGAATCAACCAATCAAATAGTATTATCAATAACACCATCTTCAATAATGAGGAAAAAGAAAATAATGATTCTAATGAACCACTTCTTTAAGATATCTAAACTAAAAAAACTAAATAAAAAAGATTTATTTTTTAAATGATTATGTTTAAAAAAAAAAAAAAAAAATTTTTAAAAAATGCTCAAAAATCTATTTTCAAAAAAACGATGGAATCGCCGTTTTTTCTTAAATTTCAGTCCCAAATACCTAAGAATTTACACTATTTATGATTATTTTTATGTGAGAACATTTAAAAAAATAAGTTTCATTATAATTTTTAAATAACAAATAATGATAATAAAAATACATACAATTATTATATGGATAATAATATGAATAATAATATGAATAATAATATTAATTACAATAATTTGAATAATAATAACATTCATTGGGATTATAATAATAATAATAATAATAAGAATATGAATATGAATATGAATATGAATAATAATAATAAAAACAATCATATCAATTATAATAACAATAGTAATAATATGAATAATGTAATAATCTTCGTCTACTATTATATATATATATAAATAATATTAAAAGATAAGACATATAAAGTATAAAACCTTCATACCTAAACTGTTTGCAAAATAAATTAAAGACTCTTTGA